AAAATTGCTGCCAAACAGGCTGATTTTATGTTCGCCCACCCCTTCATTAAAATGTAATGATCTGTTGTTGATTCGATGTTCCGCTATCAATTCAGTTCTCTGTTTATATACGGTTTCCAAACGTTGATATTAAATAGTTAGACGTTGACATCGTTGATGATTGAAGCTCAAGTGAGTATTATCTTCTCACATCTTTAGTATGTAATAGAAAACAGCAACTCTTATCCTAGTGTCATTTAACAACACACTTTCACGGATCGTTTTTATTAATTATGTTACGGCGTCTGAAATCTCCATTGAATATAAACAATGTTTTCATCTGTAAAAAATATTGATATCGCCTAACGGTACATGTTACATTTTGAATTATTACAGATGTATTTCTGTAATTTAACCACAGCAGATACGCTGGACACGGGCTTATTGTGTTAATTAATTAATATTTGTTAATCTACCTGTTATAAAAGAAATCATATTACACTAATAATATAGTAACTTTCGAGCACAATGTATTACACCAGCTCGGAAGAATATGTGCGAACTGTCTGTGTCAATATGTCAGTGTGTATCTGCATTATAAATTAATGCTCGAATGAAAGAAGATAGATTTAATCATCAAATGCACGAAATGCAATCGCAGATGGTCATCTGAGTAACATTAATTTTCTGTACACCCAGAAATCACCACTGGGTGATAATTCACACCAAACGACAGCTGTTCTAAGCAAGGTCCGTTGTTTATATTATTGAATGCTGGTATATTTCACGTAATACAACCACTCATAATGAGTTGTAGATTACCACTTCCTGTTTCTAGTAGATATGAATGTCACAGCGAGGATAGAATTACAGTACAGGCTAATATTCTTACGATTCAATGTAAGCAAAACACAGTTAATCAGGCGAGTGTATAACTTCATTTAAAATTTTGGAATTAGGAAATATAATATCTAGCATAGACAGAGCTTGTCGAGTAATTGCTACCACTGAAGAAGTGTTTATAACCACCGAATATGGGCCAGTGGTAATGTGTAGTATCACGCATAATTACATTCGAAAAATGATCAGTAATAATCAGTACTGTGTCAATGTGAAATGAACACGCGTGCACTATATTACCTTGTTATATGCGACGATTGCATAGAAAACGTCACAGCTTATTAATTATTTAAATTTATTGTGTCAAATAACCAATGAACTACACAGGTTTTTTTTGTACAAGCACACAATACTAATCTGAATTTGACCTGCATGAACAAATTTGACCTTCATGAACTTGTGATCATGTTTTTCACTTCGCTCAGCGATTAGAATAAGTCATTTCTCTCAGCGATGTATAATATCCGTTACCAAATACCGTCATTAACTGGTTATAACCTCTAAATATTGATGACAAACAAGCACTGCTTCAGGCCCTCCACACATCCAATCTTTCGGTACTTAGATGACATTGAACACAAGCTCGCAGTAGCACTACTTATGGCGGAGAACTGGATTTGACATTTGAAGTGTGTAATAGGAATCAGATGAGACTATTTAATAAATCAGGTAGACTTCGTTATCTCAGTCTTTCATGCAAAGTTGTATGAACTTTTAAACAACGAGTTGCCTTTATTTAGGCCACCACTATACAGTGGCAAACAACATGCACGCACTGACGACACAATATGATTAATGACATAGCACAATAGTGGTAATTATGAAAAAGAAATGGGAAAGTGACATGAATTGACATGTATATGTTATAGCCCAACCTGTCCGCCTTCTATTTTTGACCCACTAAGCAGTCAGTATAGTTGGAAGAGTTAAATTATCAATTTCCATGGTTACTCTAATCCGTGATATGGCGTTTCATCTCTGCTGTCTCATGAAATTATCATCATAAGATAATGAACTTGTCATCACTGCCGTACTTATCAATCAGCTGGTCAACTAGTTCTGATAAACAAAAGTTCAAATGTATGTTATATCAAATATTTAACACATAGTATGTACAACATTTCCAGTAATTTTATTGTGTAGATTGCGTCATTAATAGTATAACAATTATCATATTATACGAACGTCATATTCATATCCCACCGTCTTGACTTGAATATCACAGATTGTATGCGCTAAGGAGATAAGTTCTTGCTTGATATTGATTTATAATTTATATCCAAAATACGGCGATGCGTGAAAATAATTTCACCTCCTCGAAATAATAGATTAATATCTACTTCGCGTTTTCATCTTAGGCTTTACTTGATGATGGATACTGAAATATTTTGACTTTTTGTTTTTCAAAAATAAAGTACAAACTTGCTACACGAATAAGGTGTACGTATTTGACAATGTTCTCTTGATACCTGGAGATATCCATGGACATTTAAACTGTACATGCACCTCACCATATATTTCTTACTAAAATATCAACACAGAATTGGAAAGCCGAACAATTATAGAAAAAAACATCTCAAAAGTGAATGCGGTCCGACTAAGTCATTTCATCTCCTCTGGGTTAGTTGTGGGTGCTATCTTTTTTCTCCCAGGTTGACGTCAGCAGACATGCGTATTTACCTACATGTCGTTTTCAATCCGGGTCAAAAAGCACGGATGTTGATGCCACGGTGTTCGCCCTCACGCGTACGCCTGGCGTATGCTGTGCGACGAATCTCGTTCGTAAGATTTGCTTTAGTTTGCGCAGACTTATTTTTAATTCAAGAGAGTTTTTTGGAAGAACTTGATAGTAATACGCACACGTGCGTGTACAGCAGTGTTGCCATTGACGTAACGCTTTTGGCTCTCCGGTTAAATCCTTTCGTATTGAGATGAAGACAGCGTGAACTTTGAATTGCGTCATAAAAATGATTCTTATTAGCAGAAAATCGGCACATTGTCACCACGGTGCCACTTAGAAATAATCTCAGTGAATCAGCGGGGTACTTCACTGATTGCTCTGCTATTTACGACTCACCTCAACACGATACTTTATAAATGGGTGTATTTCTATACAATATTAATTATTTTAATGTAATAATGGCGATGAAAATGAGAGCGGCTGTCAAGTGCTCCCCGAAAACACCATCTCTAATTGAACGTCTTCTATGAAATACATTACAATTTGTATCTCGTCTAAATCTGATTTATCATATAGATCAGGGGTTATACGTTGATTTCTATTATCAAGCCTCCATCTGTGGTCATAACATTATCCCGTGTATAACCTAAAAGTGTCAACCATCAAACGACACGGCTGAACTTGGTTGTCATGGTTTCAGTCTCTGGAAATCATCTATGATTAATTGTGCGTTAATTCAATCTAAATATCGCTTCACTCGGACAAGTTAGATTCCCTTTAAAGTGTACTTTATTATGTTTAATATGCGCGCATACAGATTAATATATTTACATATTTATATACATATACTATAGATGCAAACAATATAATCAACTAAGAGGGTCGTCACCTGCGCACGCGGATACTATAAAATATATTATTAATATAATAAATTATAATATGACATGAACAATATATCAATTACATCATTATTATTTATTAGATTGTAATTCACAAAATTGTATGCACTGGGAGGGGTGTGATTCCTCATTTAATATCCACGAAATGGTATTAATAATATTTCAAATCTAAAACTGCATAGCATGAAAGCTCATATCCTCTTATCTTCATTATGTTTGTTTATGTCATCTCAGAGTCTTGACTTAGTGATGGCTGATGAATTAATTTGACATTTGCATATGGATAATTTGTGAATTGCGCCAATCCACAAGCTCCTTAGAATAAAAGTGAAATAAATAGAATAAATTATATAGAATAAATGTGATGAACGCGGAAAGACAGTGAGTAGATAATGACTGTCAGCAAAGTAAAAACAATCAATAAAAAAGATGCATATCAACCGAAACGTTATTGACCTATGTATCCGCTTATCAATCAAAAAAAAGTATCAATGATTATGTATATGCTTATGTGTTCCATGCCAGTTACTGTCACTGTGCATATATTTTAAATATCAAGAATCCACTAGTTAGTTGCACAGTTTGCACCCCCACTCGCAATTGAATCGTGTTTGCTCACTATGTCACTATTGGAATAGTTGCCTGCTGAGTGGGTATTTTATTTATATTGTCAGAACAGCATCAACAATCTGCCGCCTAATCCATAATCCAGTCACATAAAGTCGTGCTGTTGGCGGATATGTGTGAGAAATATGAATTTTGCAACCCATCTAGTTGTTTACGTGTCAGTCTGTGTTTGACAACAGGATGGTTTTATGCAGGAGAGAAGTGATTTGTTAGTCTCCAATGTGTGCTGATCGTCTCTAATCGCGGTAATAAACACACACGTTGTCGTTTAAATAAATGCTTTTTCATTCTATTCTATGAAATTTAACGATGTTAACTGCTGACTGATGGAAGAAATACAGGTTTTATTATCTATTCCATATTTCATTTACTGTGTTTATATTTCCAGTTGGGGGATTTTATTGAATGTATGTTACCTGCTTATATGGCATATGGAAAGGTGATTAATTGCAACCGATTGATCTGCTAGCTATGATCAATCTATGGTTAAACACCGCCATGTATGTGTGCTTGTTTTTTTATTCAGATTTTGGAACCCGGGTAAAAATTTATTTATTCTCTCCATTCGTTCAACGTTAGCATCAATGTTAGTGTTACCGCTGACGTCTACAGGCATGAGACAGAATTTACTTAATTGAATTGACTAATTGTTTTTTTTGAAGCCTTGAAGCATATTTCACATTCGATATCTTTTGCCTGCCTGTTATCACGTCAAACTAAAGTAAATAAATGATGTTTTTTCCTTCAGGATTGTCGATGGTTCAGTATCAACAACCTGGTTGTGAATATAGTTACAGTCTGTTGATCAGCGATTGCAGAATAATACGGTGTGTGTACAACTCCGAGTCATTTCGATATCGTTATAATATCAATCATTGGTAATTGATTTACGTGATTTATTGACGTACAACTGTGTATAACTTAAATATAATTGCAGGTGAGCTGTGAAGCCGCTTACTGAAAACAAAAACCAGCAATGGGTAACAACGACACTGCCTCGATGTTCAATTCCACTCCCTCATTGTCGATTACTGTGATATTGTCTCTTCTCTACGGCGTCATTTCTTTGATGTCAGTTCTTGGAAATGCTCTCGTTATATTCGTAGTTTTGCGGAACAAAAAAATGAGAACGATTACGAACTCATTCTTAGTTAACCTGGCCATAAGTGACATTATTCAGGGACTTTTCGCTACGCCATTTCAATTCGCTCCTGCGATTCTCTACAGATGGCCGTTTGGTGATTTCATGTGTCCGTTTGTGCCGTTTATAAAGACGCTTTCCATATTAGTTAGCATTGGTACCTTGACTGTTATATCCGTGGACAGGTACTTTGCGGTATGTCACCCGTTACGTAGAAGATTAACACCTTGTTCTACCGCCGTCACTGTTGGTATAATATGGATAAATGGCATATGTACATCGACACCAAAACTGTTGAATCTAAAAACAATCGAACATATTTTACCGGATGGGGGCGTACGGATGTTTTGCGTGCCACAATGGTCCAGTGACCAATGTCGAAATATTTATCATTTATATATTTTTGTCACGTCTTATGCTGTGCCGTTAGTTGTCATCACCGTTGCGTACAGCTTGATTGCGAAGAAGATGTATGTCACCAAAACACCGGGTGAAAGCAACGATGCCAGAGACCAAAATATCGCTAAAAACAAGAAAAAGGTAAATATTCTCCGAAAATGCAGTACAAGAATCAATTTTGTCACTTTATTGTATTATTTGATTAATACCGAAAGTGTCTTTGCCATTAAAGTATTACACATAATCTCGTATACAAGGCAGCTTCTGCTTGCATGTGACCGTTAAGCACGCAATCTATTCCCGACCTCACATTTGCAATTAGTCATTTCAAAGGACCGGATTTGGCGATTAAATGATTAAAATAGACGTGTTGGCAAATCTGACGATTTTCTATATTACTTGATATTCTATTAAAATGGTGTGCACAACTTTCACCTCAAGAGGAAGGCCATTATTGAGGTATTCGACAGTTGGATTCCATGGAATCAATTGCACACATCAGATATTACTTTTCTGATTGAAAAGTAACACCACTGACTTATTTACATGAGATAAGTTGTTATGGGAGAATAATGATACATCTGTAAATACTTTCTCTCAATATTGGCATGATATTCATAAAATACAATTTAAAATCAAACCGCGCGTTTCTATTGGTCGATCATTGTGACGTGGGTCCACGTGATCGTACGCTATACGTGAAGACTGCACCGTGTCACCCGGTCAAATCAGAAAACACCTGCCTGTGAAAGGATAACACTGAATGTTTCTCCGCACTAGGTTGTCTAACACCAAAACTTACCATGATTGTTTCGCTTGTTAAATGCTGGTGTATTTTCACTCAATATTTTAACATTTCGTCATACATTTTGTTCAAACTAATTTATACAAGCGTAAATAAACAATCCTTCTACTCAATTGTATTGATCGCTGAATTACGGAACTTATAAGTACAAGTACAAGAAGTTGGATGCGTTATACGACAATCTCGTAGTCCAGAATCCGTACCGCGAGAAAACACAGTCAATCGAATCTGCCGTTGCGGCGAATATCTCAGCGAACAATAGAACGATATAAAGTTGACATTCATTTAGAAACCCGTGATAAAGTGTGTAGTAGTTTGGACCAGCATCCTTTATTTTATGTTTTTTGCCATTTTACCTCAATCCCTGCAAATGGAAGTTTGCATGGAATCATGGAAAAAAATGGTGTGCATTGCCTTGTGATAACTGTCATAAAGGTGATTGACAGGTCATACTTGTGTCATGAGGAAATTTTCGTCTAGATCTATATCACGTCTGCTTGAGGTACCGGACCGGGTCTCTTAAGCTTTACAGTCAAATAAGACACACCCAACGAAATACGTTTCAATAGCTAGTCTGTTAGCCACATCGAGAACGCCTCAAGGCAAACTGCCTCGTCAGGAGGACTCTGCCCAGGATTGACCAAGACTTTCTCGCCTCGTGGAGCTCTCTCTGGGACCAAGAACTTAGACCGTTTATTACGTATCAAAACTTAACCAATTGCAAAGAAGTTTAATGACAAAAGGCGTAACCTTCACACATTCAACTTGCACATAGCCAATCACACTAAGTACTGGACGTCATATCTACTGATTAATCGCTCACTATATTAATAACTGCAAGTACCAAACGTCAGAAATAGCGGTCCTGATGACGACGGTTATATCGTAATTAGTTCCAAATCACTGAGTCAAGTTCCGTCCAGGACCTCGCATGAGCCTAAATGATGACAGATATAACACAGCCATTCACTAGTGATCGGCTAAACTAGTCGGTCAACAGATACGTGAAAACTAATTCATGACACTTGTTTTCAATTCTGGAAGGAGAGTGGGTTCTACCAGGTGTGCTAGTAATTTACATAACAAAGAGTGTTTGCAACTTTATCACCTCACATGCTCAGTGGCAGTGTTATAATGAAATTTACAATTGAAGTACAAACACGCCCCATAGATAGGTTAATTGAGTCGTGACGTAAATGACAAAATTTCCATTTTTACAATAAAAAAGCTTATTATTATTAAAAGGCAGTTTTTTTTTTAAATAAATCTTGTCATATGTACTAAGTAGGTTACGTAAATGAAGAGTAATGATGTTCTTGGATGAAAATAGAAATACATCTTCACAACTTCGAATTGATTTAATAAGTATCAGCTTCAATCATGTTGAAATGTTTATTATTGCAGGTAATTACAATGGGAATAGGATTGGTGATAGTTTTTGCATTTTGTTGGTTGCCGCTTCAACTGTACGATTTCTTGAAATTCGTTACACCCGACATTCTGAGGTGAGTGAACCCAGTGAAATGAATTGCAATGATGTAGGTGAATGACCTTGGACAAAAGTATTTAATCACGTGTTTGCCCGCGACAAATAAATAACGGTTGAATGACGTTGCGGATTTAGCGATAACTACACTGTGCGATCGAGTTTAATTACGTGATGTCGTGGTTTATTTATGAATCATCACAAAGAACTAACGAATGTTACATTTATCCACATGATGATCCATTTCATTGCCCGACCTTTACACCCGCATAGTGATTGACAGTGTTAGTATCCAATCGATCACATCGTCGTAGCTGGTGTTTCCTGTAGTAATGAGGGATAAACAAAAGTACTACTTGCCACAATTTCTCAATACAAACTTTAAAGCTCCACGACCGAAAGTTTCGGTGTGGTTGTTTGAAGAGGTAGATTGTTTTGAGTCAGAGAGATCGTTAAAAAGATGATGTTTAGGCCAGTGAGTGGTCAGTGTCAATATATGTTGAGATTTATTTACTGATTCGGGAATTAAATTGCTTGCTATTTTAAACTAAATTGAAGCAGCCATAATTGTTTTAGTAGGAAACACTACGAAACAGCGGATATTTGTTTTGAACTACGTCTCACAATATCTGTCCAGTGGTGGTTGTGAAATCTAACGCCGAATTTATTACGATAGCATTTACCATGTAATATGATAAATAAACCAGCTGTCTGGCAAGAAAAACACCAATTTTGTATTTTACGATTCTCGTTGTTTTTTTCTTTTTCAGTTACAAGCATATCAATATTATATGGTTTTGTTGCAACTGGTTAGCAATGAGCAACGCTGCGTGTAATCCCTTCATATATGGACTACTGAATGTAAGTGAACACTGGGGGCGATATATTTTTATTCATACATTACCATTCGCGTGTGGATAATTATGCATAACACAGTGATAGTTGTAAGCAACATAGCACGTACGTCTACGTGTGCTTGTAAAGACCATGGTTCTATGACCTAATAAGTAATAGCATTGTGATATAATACAAAACACATTGTTTATTGTACACATACATTCTTACATGGACAGACTGCACTAACTTTAATTATGCATAGCAAAACAAAAACAAACAAAAAACAACGCAAGTCATGTGAACTATTAACCAGATTAAAAGTAAATATGTTACACCCATACATGTGCTGTGGTAATCTTGTTTTTTTCCTTATATTCTATATTGGTCAATGTCTTGTAGTCATAGAGCCGTGTTAGATGACATCGATGTCTTACATACACACCGGTAACTAAGAAATGAAATCGGTTGCTCGATGTAACGTACTTTCGACGTAAACAAAAAGTTAAGGTCCATCACTCTGAAGTTCCTATCATAATGACAGATTTTACAACAGAATCTTTTAAGTTAACACTAACTGACCTATCACCGGACATATTAAATACTAACAAGGTTAACTTCAGTTTGTTTGTCTATTCTATCTGAAAAAGTGGTAATCACATCCAGTCATAGTCTCCTAACCAAAAGTCATAAAAAATTACATGTTCAATAACACACAACAAATAACTGACAACAATTGTCAAAACAATTCGCAAAACTACAGTTAACTACATAGTTAAATTGGTAAATGATAAATATATGCATTTTACGTCAGGTGTTTCAAAGTAAATGACAGATCATCCTGCTTCATTGTGGTCTCTGTATGAAATTTGATGTCCATACCTAACAGATAACAATAGTTTGTTTCAGACATTTGTATTCCGTGCCCGTTTATTTTGAAACTTAGGTCGTTTAGATGAATATGTTATTGTGTATATGCAAACAAATTATATTGGAGAGAATCTGTGAAATCTAGCATATTGTATATATTTATTTTAACATTTCATTTGAAAATATCCTCACTTGCACATAGGACAATTTTAAACGAGAGTATAGAAAAGTCTTCGAGCTCAACAAAATGACAGTCAGGGTTGGACCAGTCCCAATGGAACCTGTACCGCGGGTAATTGGTGATCAACCAAAACAACAAAGTTGGGATCTACAAGTAAGTGGAAACGATCATCTCATGCTTTTATTTATGTTTATGTTCCAGAGAACACATTGTTTAAGATCAGGGTAGCTGCAGCGTGACTGAACGTTTTTTTTTTGTTCTAGTTATTAATAATGAAATCGTTTTCTTTCTTTCTTTTTCTATTCCAAGGAACAAAGTCCACCTACTCTTTCCCAACATGTAACGCGCCATTGAAGTTGTATCAAATATGGATTTTCTAATAAAAATGACGTCATCGATCGAGATGTCCAGATGAGACTAGTCAAGAGTGATATTGTCGCAACAAAACTACGGAATAACTTTAATACAACGTGTTTCAAAAAAACATCGATCAATTCACGATATATTCTGCACCGTAGCAAACTGCCAACACGTCATCCGAGATGAAGGCTAACAAGCCGCGTACACATGTCTTTCTGCTATTCAGAAGAAACAACGCTGGACATTAAATACACGTTCATATATGGTGTACGAACGTACAATATATAACATTTATTAGATCATTATATCAATGAATATTCATAATAATAAAACACATGTGATATATGATATTTCTGTTTATTACGCGCAATTATAAAACCCTGTCAAATAACATCTTTATGTATTAGAAAAACACCTTTTTTGGATCAAGACAAATACATTCTCTGGAGTGATACACTGTTAGGCTTAAAGCAAGTATTCAACTCACATCATATTTAGACTTTATACTATAAACCACATGTGTAAGTGGGACATGTAACGAGACATAACATGTACAACGTAATGTATTTTTGATTAGTGCGTCTGTCTCAATTGACACGTTGCATTGTTACATATTTACTATGCGTGGGTCTTTCATTTCAAATTATATGACGTCGAAATACTATTTCATGGCATTCAATTTAAACAATTTTGTACCATCTTTTTTTAGTCCCCGTTCGGACGAAGTCCAAAAACGGAGACTTATAATTCGGTCTCCGTCCGTCCGTGCGTCTGTGCGTTCGTGCGTCCGTGCGTCCGTCCGGAGTCATATCTCAGAATCCCTTGGACCGATTCTGTTCATTCTTTGCATGTGCCTAGTACTTTATGTGGGACATATGCACATGCAGTGGTTTAGCGATTCGATTCAAAATGGCAGGCTGGCAGCCATCTTGTTTTTTGAGAATGTTGTATTTTGGATATCCTTTGTCAGTTTTCAATCAAACTTGGTACATAGATTATACATGTTAGGATACATGTCCATGACGATTTATTTTACTATTGGATCAAAGATGGCCGACTGGCAGCCATCTTGTTTTTTGAAAATGTCGTATTTTGGACATGTTTTGTCAATTTTCATTCAAATTTAGTACATAGATCATACATGTTAGGATACATGTCCCAACCGTCCGTGAGTTCCTGAGTCTGTCAGTCCGATCGCGACCGTCCGTCTGTCCGTGCGTCAGTCTGTCCAACGTCATATTTCAGAATCCTGTGGACCATTTCCGTTCATTCTTTGCATGTGCCTAGTACTTTATGTGGGACATATGCACATGCAGTGGTTTAGCGATTCGATTCAAAATGGCTGACTGACAGCCATCTTGTTTTTTGAAAATGTTGTATTTTGAACATGCTTTGTCAGTTGTCATTTAAACTTGGTACATAGATTATACATGTCCGGATATATGTCCATGACGATTTATTTCGCAATTGGATCAAAGATGGTCGACTGGCAGGCATCTTGTTTTTGTTTTTTAATGCGGTATAATGTGCTCTCTCAGTTGTCATTCAAATTTGGCACATACATGTACTTTATTCATGTTAAGATGCATGTCCATGACAATTTGTTTCAAAATCTGATCAAGGATGGCCGATTGACAGCCATCTGACTTGTTAGCCTTAACTTACTACTATATTTCCACAATTTATGTACCATTTTTTTAGAGTGTTGTGATACTCAATTTAGTATCCTTACGAAGCACATAATCGTATACGTTTGATTACTAACAGTCTTTGAAATAATAGCAGTACCGATATCTCAACGCGTATGTGCTCTAGCGTAGGGCCACATGACAGTGTAATCATCTGACGTTTAAAATGAAGAGTGTGACTATTTAAAATAAATAAATTCTTTCATAACCGAGATGATATTCAGTTTATTATTATTCCTCAGTGAGTAGAATGAAAAACGATGGTGTAATCAGCTTAATGTAACATGGTTAAAAAGAACCTCATTTAATCTAATGTATGTAATTTACACGGACTAGATCTGTGATATTAATCACATGATTTATTGCAACTATTAATTAAATATCTTTGTCAGATTACAATCTATCAGCATCAGTTTGTGTGACAGAAACACGAGACTAAATGACTTTAAAGAATGCCATCAATGCACTTCAAAATTTCTTTATGGTCATTGCGACGCATACGATTGTGCATTATAACTGATGGCATAGAATGTCTACTGCTTTGTTTGTCCTTATTGATATTAATAATGGATTTGCCCATCCATATATGGAATTACTGTAAAAAAAAACATTTCACTAAATATTGATAAATTGAATTCATTAGGTGATAGGACAATTTGAATAATCTAAAAACTATTCAATTAAGCAAACAATTTTATTCCCGGGATATGGACATACAATTTATTTTTAGAATGTCAGATAATTTTTAAATTTACAAATACCTATTACACTGTGTTTTTTTTTTATGAGAACAATATCTGATTTATTTATATATTAAACTTAACAATATGTATTAATGTACACCATATGTGAAAGTGTAATTTACTTCCAATTGCATTGTGAAAATTATGTTTTGATTTGTCCATTCGATTTTTTTTTATTTTAACATTTTTACAAGTTTTATTATACAATAGGAAGCGTGTACTTGCAAACACGTCAGCAGATTTAGAGAACGAATCTGAGCCTCAGAATTTTTTTTATTTGTCTTTATTTGTCTATTCCAAGTATCGATTTTATAATTTTTGAATAAATTACCGATTTCTGCCATTGAGAGCGTGATTTCTTTCATTCTAGAACAGTTATTCAATACAATTCAATGGCAATTATGGAAATGATGAATTATATTATTTGAATTCGTGAAAACTAGGAAATACTAATTTACATCACAAATATGATTATGTCAAGCTAATGATTTTGTCATGATTGTTAAATTTTCAGGCAAAAGCATGCCCATTTAACAAATCAGCACATTTAACTACGTTTGGGGTAAACATGGTTAAAAAGGTTTATACCATTATTTACTGGAAGCTGGGATATTCAGACTTCCACGGGAAACACTCGTTAGTTAATCATTTTTAATATGTTGAGATCTTCTTGAGCGTGTCCCGTTCAGTTATATTGAACTATTATTAACAGCAACTGGGGGTATATGACAAGTATTCATTGAAGTGTGATAATTTGATTGCCCGTGGTAATTTATCTTATTTTCAAGTGTTTATTGACAAGAATAGTTTGGATGTCATATAGTCATCTGCCCAATTGACTGTCGACCTTGTTGGGCATTCATTTGCACATGCATTTGAATTGTGCGTTTCATTTATATTGTGTTTAGATTGGACGCTATCTTGGCATCTTCTCGCACCGCGAAAATGAAGTATTGTTATGGTTTTCCGTATCTGCATTGACAATTATTATTCAGACTGTCGTGCGATTTGATTATGCCGATACTTTCCGTTCTTCGACTTTCAAAATTTCGATGCAAAACATGTTCACAGCTCGGGATGTTGTAAAGAATTCATAAATGTATTTGATTTATAAATCAATATTACCGGTAACATCCAATATTAATATATTAATGATGTAGTTCAATATCATTCAGTCAAAAAGTGGGCGGTCGTAGTTGCTATTTCACTTAGAGGACTGCGCGTGCATTATGTGCGTCGGCAATGTAGAGCTTCGGAGCTGATCATTAAATATTTAAATCTGAAAGAAAGTTGATGATCATTATATAAAAATTATTATAAACACAAACTAAGATACAGCTTTATGCCATTCACTTATTGTGATTTAGTCAATTCCACGTGACCGGCTCTCGTCCAATCAGCAAGACACTCCAGAATATGAGAGGTGACAGGGTTTTATTAGATCGAGTTTCATGGTCCGTTGTCATAAATACAAATAGTTTGTTGAATGCTTTGTCATGTAATTCACAAATATAACACGACATCGAAAGAATCAATCGAATGCGGTTATTTATAATAATATTTATAATAAGACATGGAGAAGAAGTTATATATTTTTCTTCCTTACTATTGCCTAGACTATAACCGCTTCATTGATTAAAACAAATCTGAAGAAATTCACTCTGACACAAAACTGGTGACATAAGTTGCACAGCAATTATTTCCAAAAATCAAAAGGAAACTTCATAGTCCAACATGTACAGTTCTATGAGGCTGTATATACCCTTATTATTAACCTTGAGTTCTCGCCTTCAAACTGTTCCAAATAGTGTAACACACACTCGCCGTAGAGAGGGCCGCTTTTAACAACTTTTGCTTATTGACTTACAATACAACCGGATTTATCCGATCACAATGCACCTACTTAAATAGACGTGGAATAGAGAGTCGTCGACCCTAGCCCTTTGAGAAACTATCAAAACTGCTATGTCGTACACCGCCACTAACCAACATACCTACCTACACACCGAAGAATACGTGCGAGAATATAATTGGGAAATAAAATGTATTTCGACATGGTAATATGCGTTCTACCTCCTCTCCTTCCTCTTGTCAAATCTTTACTGACCTTGCTATGGTGTGTGTAGTACATGTTTTCAACACCGTCATCTGTTAGTAAATAGCGATATTACCGGAGATAACACTCCGATGAACATTTTACCTTTTCCGATATTGAGGGATTATTAGATTTAAAAAAAATAATTACAAAAAGCAGCTTTTTGTCATAAAATAGTGATATATATCAAGAAAAAATCCTTATAGACTTATTGGATATAAAAACAGATAATTATTGTAACAAACACCAATTACATACGAATTTTAAAAACAACAACAATTCAATATATTTCACTCTATTTTTTCATTTTATACATCCTTAATTGTGGTGATGCAAATCGGGTGTTGAATAACATTAAAAAAATAAAGAGTGTGTTATCTTCAACAATACTCCTATGAACTATCACAAGTTTTGCATTAACTTGCATGAACCCTATATTCACTGTAGCTTATGCATGAATTCCTGTTTCTATCTATATATGCATATATCATTTGTATTTTACTATATCGGTGTATCGTAGCATTTTGATTTAACCCTGTGCTACACGAATTGTGTAACTTGCAAGATAAGAACCCACACACGCGGTGGTAACAATTTTATTTGGTATTTGCGGTTAATAATTGACCCGATCCCGTGTCGTTGTGACATTAGAAGTGAGATGGTGTACGACTGGGAAACAATCATGGGCTAACAATATAATTATATACATTCTAAACACGATACACTTTCACTATCTCTTAAAAATGGAATTGTCCAATAACTCTTCTCTGGTATCAGTCAGTGCGATTAGGATTTCCCCAGTGCTAGTAAATACAGTTTATAAAATGACTAAAATGTCTGCAATTGGTAAACATGAAAATATAAATACAACAACAGATTTAAAAATTCAAGGGCGATAAATTGATTTAGCTGGAGATAGGTTGTAAACATGTGTGGCAGCTCGATATATATACGTCAGTACTTGAGGAAGAAAGAGCCGAACGAGCAGAGAGAAGAGAAAATGAGCGAACAAATCTCGAGAACAAGAGGGTTGAAGAAGCATTAGGCTAAAGGGTAGAGGAAGCCATTAAACTTAAGCAAGAACTTAAAAGAGAAAAAAACCGAACAAGTCATTAAACTTGACAGGTTGAATTACACGCTGAAAAAGAGCACACCAAAGAGCGAGCTCAATTTGATTCTAAAGTAAGTTAGAACTAAAAAATAATGCGGAATCGTCCCCTTTTGCAGCCAATATTTAGTCACCTCCCAATTATAAAGATGATGACAACATGGACATTTAGATAAATCGACTCGAACACACACACAATACAACCACTCGGAGACTACTCTCGGTGATATTGTTGCAATGATAGTAAATACGTGGACAATGTGTTTATTTTCCATTCATGTATTTATTAGTATTATCTCATAGAATTACCCAAGCGTGATGCCAAATTTGCATGATAATAGTATATAATTTTGTAACAATGTTACCAGTAGAAAGAACATACGCATTACACAATGATTTATAAGAATAGTTTGACTTAAAAGGTAAACAATTTGCCGTTCAAAATTGAAATTATCCCTTTTAAAACATAAAACTCTTTCTTTTAGGACGTTTTATAATTTGAATTTAAAGCACATGAATAATGAAATCTTAGGTGAGAGTCTAATCCTCGCTGAAAATGTGTTTATGTACAGTGAGAATTTCAGAAGGCCACGACTATATAGTAAATTATTGGTATTATTAATAGAGAAATTGAAGAATGCCCTGTAGTGTGGTAGAACTTACAATAGGTAAAATATGAAAAATATCAATCATTATATGACTGTGTACCTCAAGCATTATCGGACAAAAGTAGATTTAATACACCAATGTCTGATGATATAATAGAAGATAATATTTGGTAATAACTATAAGTAACTGTTAAAAATAGCTAGACGTTTCGAGCAATGGCTCTTTGTCGATAACATAGAAGAAATGTAATGTCTGATGATGTAGTCTTCACATGATTAGTTTGCACCTGACGAAGCCCTGACTTATTTGATGTACATGGTATCTTGAAGGAAAACACAACAATAAACATTACAGTAACCATCACAGTATAGGCTCTAAATAGATTTACAAAAACAAACAATTGAAACTAATTAGCAAGTTGTTGGCTTTCTAATGGGCGAAAAGTGATTCAGAAGTACAAAGTGAAGTACAAAGTGAAGCACAAAGTGCAGTACAAAGTGAAGTACAAAGTGAAGTACAAAGTGAAGTACAAAGTGAAATACAAAGTGAAGTACAAAGTGAAGTACAAAGTGAAGCACAAAGTGAAGTACAAAGTGAAGCACAAAGTGAAGTACAAAGTGAAGTACAAAGTGAAGTACAAAGTGAAGTACAAAGTGAAGCACAAAGTGCAGTACAAAGTGAAGTACAAAGTGAAGTACAAAGTGAAGCACAAAGTGCAGTACAAAGTAAAGTACAAAGTGAAGTACAAAGTGAAGCACAAAGTGAAGTACAAAGTGAAGTACAAAGTGAAGTACAAAGTGAAGCACAAAGTGAAGTACAAAGTGAAGCACAAAGTGAAGCACAAAGTGCAGTACAAAGTGAAGTACAAAGTGAAGTACAAAGTGCAGTACAAAGTGAAGTACAAAGTGACGCAAAAAGTGCAGTACAAAGTGAAGTACAAAGTGAAGCACAAAGTGAAGTACAAACAAAGTGAAGTACAAAGTGAAGCACAAAGTGAATTACAAAGGGAAGTACAAAGTGAAGTACAAAGTGAAGTACAAAGTGCAGTACAAAGTGCAGTACAAAGTGAAGTACAAAGTGAAGCACAAAGTGAAGTACAAACAAAGTGAAGTACAAAGTGAAGTACAAAGTGAAGTACAAAGTGAAGCAAAAAGTGCAGTACAAAGTGAAGTACAAAGTGAAGCACAAAGTGAAGCACAAAGTGAAGTACAAAGTGAAGTACAAAGTGAAGTACAAAGTGAAGCACAAAGTGAAATACAAAGTGAAGTGCAAAGTGAAGCACAAAGTGAAGTACAAAGTGAAGTACAAAGTGAAGTACAAAGTGAAGCACAAAGTGAAGCACAAAGCGAAGCACAAAGTGAAGCACAAAGCGAAGTACAAAGTGAAGCACAAAGTGAAGCACAAAATGAAGCACAAAGTGAAGCACAAAAGGCATAAGGCAAATTGCAAAATTGTTTTTTTAAGAACATTTAGCCCTGAAACAGGGCACCTTTTCATGCACACGTAGGCGCTATCGCAGCTTTGTGAAAAGTGATTC